CTGCAAGAATATTTAATTAATTCGATTTAGTTTGGAATAATCTAGATTTTTTATCTGTTATGACAACTTGTAATTATAAATTTGGAGATTTTCTAGTAATCTCTTGCAAATAACAGATCTAATGGGTATAATGCTTAAAAACTTCAAGTTAATTATAAAGTTGAAAATGATGAAAGTAAGTTATTCATTTGCTACAAAAAATAATAGATAGAAAATGCTGTAGAACATATAATATTGTTATGATGAAGATTGAGAATAAACATAATGAAATATAAGGGTATTCATTTAAGTTTAAAGCCTACAGGTGGATTATTTTATGGAATTGGAATAATAAGAGATTACAAAAGGCCAATCAAGAGTCCAGATATTTCTAGTATATAGTACAATGAGTGATATTACGACAACTAACCACATATCCAAATTCGATCTGAATTGTTTTACTTTGATTTTATATGTTTATAAAATAAAAATAAGAAAAGCTTTATCTTGTCATGGTGTTTTTCAATACTCCATGTAATCGTAGCGCCAGGTTTGGATAGTGGTACCCATTTGATTGGTGATCGGGTACGTGTTGATCGAATATCGTGATCGAGAATTGCATGAATGGCATAATTTGGGTTTGCATAAAATCAATTAAAAGTCTGTAATAATGATTGTATAAGCGATGGTAATAATCAATGATGCTAATATGCATTAGTAATTAATATAAGGTGAGTTTCTTGAATTACCTCTTAGTGAATAAACTGTTGTCTTGGTGAATACATTATCAGTAGTAGTATTTGGTTATTTGGTATGATACTCCAGTTATCATATATAATAGCCAAGCGAGTAAAGACCGATAGTAAATATACGGTAGTTTGGGTAACTTCATGACATCTAATTTAGTTTGGTTATGTTCATGATATCACTAGTGCCATTTTAGATATAGCTGAACACTTTGAGGCCAATAAATAGCACTGGGTTTTTTTTATATAAGTTTCGCCTCACTTCGCTCACTCATTTAAAGCTTAAAATTTATAATATATCATATATTGATAATATCACTTCATCAATTCTTATATTCTATAGTTCATAAATGTAATTTAAATTTAGAAATGAGATTCTTTCGTTATAGTTATTACTATAGTAACGAACTGTTATTTGTTATTCTGGTTGGTAAAAAGTCCCCAAGAAAATAAAAACATAAAAAAAAACATAATAATTGTAAATCTAGATAAAGAAGCTTTTTTATTATTATCTTGATATCACATCTGAATTTTATATCTAAGAAAATATAGTAGTAGTATAGTAGTACATAGTAAAATGGATGAAAATGAATTTTGACCATAGTTATCTTGCGCAAAGTACAAGCTATAAAAATTGCTCGAACATGACAAAATAATAAATCTAGTTTGTTCATGTGCCTAGTCATTACACCGCATATTCATATATAGTAAAATAGGTTAGTAATTACTGAAATTTTATATTATATTAGATTAACTCTACAGAATCAATTATAAGCCATATTATGAAGTTTTTCACTTGCTTTATAAAAGTCATGTTCAATTCCAATTATAATTCATATATTCTGATTTATAAGTTTAGCATAATAATTTACTTGTTCCGTAATATGCCATTTCATTAATTTTGAACCAAATAACAACTCTTTATATATTTGCTAGATATATATTAAATGATTAAAAAAAATTATTGTAAATATAAATGTGATCAAATATGCAATGAAAATAAAAATAATTATATGAAAGTAACTTTTATAAACGTAAATTGCTTGCAAGATTTTTACCATTTCGTGATGGTACTGCAATGTTTTTCGTCAAATTATCCAAAGTTTTCGTTCTTTTAGTATCTCTTAACAAATAATTGATAGCAAATGCATGTTGAATAAATTTGCATAAATAATGCATAGAATTTTGAGCCTTTAGCTCTTCTATATTAGTGGCATTTAACCACCATTCAAGTACTTTAACAGTTGCAGATTTGTTCACAAAAGCGATAATTTCTTCCTTTTGCAAAGAGCCTGTTGTAGACCTATAATTAATTGAAAAATACTATTAAA